AAGAGCCGCGCACCCATTCATTCAGTCCATAGGAAAGCATTCTCAATGCTTTCCTATGGACGCTGGCGTCTTCTCACTGTGAAAATCACAGTGAGAAGCTCGGAAGCGCCTCTAGTGGCTGTCAATGAGACAGCCACCAGAGGCTTGATTAACCCAAATGTAAACATAGCAGTTTCTCTGAAACTACTATGTTTACAGCAAAAAGGGTTAACCCTAGCTGGACCTGGCACCCAGACCACTTCATTAAGCTGAAGTGGTCTGGGTGCCTTTAGTGGTACTTTAAACGTACAGTCCAAATTATGACCTGCAAAGTTTAAATCAAACAGTAAAATAATACATGTAATAGATATAATGCTTATGTAGGACAAGAGAAACTAACAGACTTCATTCTACCAGTGTAGATTATTGAATTGTTTATGTCAGTTATTTTAGGACATTCGGTTTAAATTTAGACAAAATTTCAGATAATTATTGTCGAATCATGTTCCCCATTCAGACCGAGGGCATGTCAAGATCTCAAATCCAGTTGAGTTCTCTCCCTTTGACTTTCTTTACTGCATGCATGTTTTGCCTCAGTTCCTGGTCTTGTTCAATAATCTTGAGGCTTGTGAATAAATTGTGAGTCGTCTGAAATAATGTGTCTAGCTATAATGTATTGGCTTCCAGGGAGAATACTGATTGTAGTATCTGGGTGAAAGCTAATGTAGCATAGTAAAAAGTATGTTCCTTTCAAGGAGCTGTAATGAACAAGTCTGTTGCCAGTTTATGTCCATTTATGATTAATGTAACATCCAGAAAGATGAAAGAATATTTTGGTACCAGTGAATTGAGAAAAGGTTGAGGATACAGAGACATGGGTGAGGTTTTGAGAAGTTTCAGGTTTGAAAGGTACCTATAGATTTGATAAAAAAAACACTAGTGGTAGATTTTTGGGAAGCACATGATGCACCGACAAGGAGTACTATGCAGAGATATACAGTACTTGGTGTTGGTGGCAAACTTTATTTTAAACTTTTTGGTATTTACAAAGAGAAGGATATATAGAAACAGAAAGACAATCGAGAAATGGGGAAGAGTATAGAAACATTTTTGTATTTAGAATGAGGTAGATGGCAGAAATGGGAATGCAGGGATAGTAATTAGGGGTTAGATACTCGCAGGAGAAGTGGCTGGAAAGAAATATATGCATGGGGGTAAAGACAACGGTAGGAAACAATTTCAAACATAAAAAGAAATGGTAAAAAAAAAATAGATTATTAGAGAAAATAGACCTGGTTAAAAGACCTAATGTCGGTTGAAGGAACACTACAAACACCATTACTTCTACACTGTGCTCTAGTGCTCATGGCTTCAGGAGTGTCCTGGCGCCCAACTCAGTGTAAGTTGTCAAACCGTATACTAACCAATTAGCATTTAACCTGATGTTGGACAGGCAACACTCCCCGTCTTCTCTCAGCATGAACTTGTCAAGTTATGTTACATTCTGCGGATCATTGCTGGCCAAGGCTTCTGATATCCAGTACTCTTTTTACAATTCTTATTTAGTTTGTCTTGTTTTTTCTGGTTTTCTATTCTATGTCTGGTTTTGTTGATGCTGGGTTTTCTGGGTTCAATCCTTTATTCCATTTCGGTAATTCCCAGTCTCCTGGATTCCTTTAAATCAATGGTTCCCAACCCAGTCCTCAAGTACCCCTTATCAGTCCAGGATTTAGGAATTACCTTGTTTTGTCTAAGGTGTTCTTAGAAAGAACATTTTTTGTTGTTGTTGTTGCCACACCCGTTCCATTGCCATTTATCCTTTTTTGTTTCAGTGTTCCCTACAAGCAGTGTTCTCATTCCTTTGCCCCTTTTCTTGCAGGTAAGTACTGTGTGTGTTTTATTGTTGTACTTTTAGTTATGCATATCAAGGCAGTTAGGACCCACCGTAATTGGAGTACTTTGGCGCAGTGTTGGGCTGCAAACATCTTGGCCATTTATGTATGTCTAAATCTCCAATGTTTATTACATATATAGTATTTAGTTATTTCTCCTCTTGTTTTGCCTTGTATCTCTTGTCTTGTTTTATTTTGTCTTGTATTCCCAGTTCATGTACAGTCCTGTTCTTATTCCCTCATGTCTTGTTTACATATTCTGGGTTCTGCTTTCTGTCCTGCTCCGGTTCTGGGTTCTTCTAGTCTTGTCTTGTTATCTTGTTTGGTGCCTGTTCTAGTCTTACCTTGTTTCTAGTACTGGATACATATCTGCATGATATCAAGCACCTGGGATCCGCAGAAGCTGCTTCAGGGCCCTGGTACGTGGCTGCACAAACCCTGGTGCTCAACAACTGGGTGCGTGTGGTTACCCTGCACCAGACCCTGATAGTTCATTTCCACGCTGTGACTCTTACCATCATGAGGCATACAGGGGTCCCGGTCTTTGGACTGCCACCCGTGACAGAACTGATCGCTCTCAGCCAATGAGCTAAGCTCTGAACCATTGCGCTAAGTTCAGTGAAGAGAGGTTCCATGCTGTAGTGGTTATAGTGATTGGAGTGTTCCTTTAACTCACTACAATTCATTATTTCCTAGATAAACCCTAACATGCCCATTAAATCCAAAAGCCCCCTCTAATACCTGATGACATCAAGATGGCAAGAGGACGCTGCTTATGACAAATGTGAGTAACTAAGCTTTGTTTGTTGAGCTATACCACAGCAACTGCTCTGTAGCTGTTTTATTTTCTCATAGAGTTGTGTGACGATTGACTGAGTCCGCCTGCTATGCTTTAAATTGTGAATGAATGCTCAAATGGAAATGTTCTGTAGTCAGAGGGCATCGTGTGAATGAAACTGAATTATTAATGTTAAAATAATGATTATATAACAGAACTGTTCACCTTGAGAGCATGAAGGTAATTATCTAAACCTCAAGGGAACAGCTGGCTAAAACCATCCAAAACAACATTACCACAATTTATGCAGTACGATATAGCCTGCAAATGCCTTCTGTACTTCCTGCTGAGCTTGGTATAAATCTGTGCTCCGTTTCACATGCTGAATGTATAATGTTTGTTTATACTGAAACAATAGTGTATCCAGCTTTTTACATAATTAAATAAATGAGTCATAAACTACACAGCAAAGCGCATAATGCAAGCGGATGATTAATCAATAAATATAGAAAGGGTGGCTTACTATGTTCAGATGTGAAATCCTAAATTAGATTACAATTCTCAAACATTGAAAGAAAGGTAACACGCAATACTTTATCAACTGTCCAATTATTTACAAAGAGAAAATTCGAGATATAGTAAGAACTACCAAAACATTTGTATGTGTTCTATGATTTTTTTTTTTCTTTGCTTTAAAAATTTTTTTACATTTTTTTTAATAAAAGTTAACTTAGAAATATTGGTCTAAATAAGACTAAACACTTTATGTTACCTAACTGTAACAATACCATACTTTTTATATTTAGCGACCATATTTTAAAATAATTTAACATTTGATACCCATGACATATATGGTAAGTGACGGGTTCTCCTAAGCTACAATTTTTTTTGTTTTTAAAGGGACACTATAGTCACCAAAAGAAATTTAGCTTAATAAAGCAGTTTTGGTATATAGATCATGTCCCTGCAGTATCATTGCTCAAATCTCTGCCATTTAGGCGTTAAATCACTTTGATTATGCAGCCCTTGTCACACCTCCCTGCAAACTGTGCCCGCACTCTGGAGGGGGTCCATCGGGTAGCCTATTCAGGACCACCGGATGGGTCTCACTGAACAGGGGCCCGGTGGTGCTCTTAAAGGGCGATCATGCCCGACTGGGTCCCTATTCAGTGACACCCATCAGGTGGTCCTAAATGGACTACCCGATGGACCTTTCACATCTGCCGGCTGGAAAGAAGTGACAGCGATCACTTCCTTCCAGTTTAAAATGAGAGCCGCACGGTAGGGAGGAGGCAGCACGGGCAGCAGCAGTTGTCCTTCACAAGGTCCCTGCCTGGTGCTCCTCGCAGTGGACAGGGATGCTGTCTTGCCACCACAACCACTTACACATCTGTAGGGCTTCCTAACCCCACCCCTACCCCTAACCACCATAACCACTTACATATCTAGGGTTAGGGGTAGAATTAGGTCCCCAGACTGCCACCACAACCATTTACACATCTATAGGGCTCCCAGTGCCAGGAATTAGCTTATTTGTCTAGATTTCTGTCATCATTCATGTAATTTTTCCTCCCTCTCTTGTTTTGCCACTTTTCAGAAATCTGATGCACTTTGGCACTTCCGAAATTCGACACTTCGATAATTCGGCAATTCGGTTCGGTTCAGCAGTTCCGAAATTCGCTAATTCGGACATTCAGAAGCATCGAAACAAAACAAATTGCACATGTCTACTAGGTGGCGAGGAAGTTATTTTTACAATTGGCATCCACCCACCGCTAGTGTGGGTTCTCACACATTATTACTTAGGGCCCCCACCTGCCGGCAATGGCTGGTGCCTGGGGGGGGGAGCAATAGGTTTCTCCCCCCAATTATTACTTAGGGCCCCACCCGCTGCTAATGGGTTGGGGGGGATAACATGTATTTATTTATTTTTACTGAACCTACATGTATATATTGTATCTTTGATATATCTTGAATAAACCTATTTCTCCCCAAAAAGAAAGGAAAGTCGTTGTAAACCTTTTAGAAGCATTTTGTATTTACAAGTTTATTGTATGCACAATCAGTGGCGTCTCCAGCATTCATATTTAGGGAGGGCACATTGGGGGCCAGGGACAAAAGGAGGGGGGCAGTTATAAAACATGTGTGTGTATGTACGTACACACACAAACGTGGAGAACATTTTAGAGTTAACAAAATTCAGATTTCCAGCAACCTCGTTAAGTATGCTAAAGTCTGTCTGCTTTAGATAGGCCATTGTAACAATATCTCATCATATTAGAATGTTTTCAAAACTATAGTTTACAAAAAAAAAAAATATTTTTTAAATTTATAACATGCTGTGACGAACTGGACCTCGTCTCAGTTTCTTGGAGGGGCATACTTGCCAGCTTCTTACCGTGTGACTATGGTCCCTGTGATAAAATTTGCTTTAAATCCCTATTTGTGCCTGTTGGGACTTATAACAGGAACCATTCCAACTTTCGAAGTGGCACTTCGAACTCCCAAACTCCCGAAGCCATTCGAAGTGCCCTTCGACCCCGTGGTGGCGGCCAACTTGTTCGCATAAACCAAAACCATGAATAGACTTCCGGGGAACTTAGCCGCGAATGCCCTGGAACAATTTTCGGCATTAAAACCTTGCAGTTCCCGGTCGGTCCTCCAGCGGCATTTAGCCGCGATTCTATGGAACTATTTTCGGCTATGGGACCATGCCTGCGGTCGGTATAAACTATGACTTCCATACTATTTCTGAACCCCTGAACTGATCTGGGTGATTTTTGGATATGTTGGTCACCCAGATCAGGGCTATCAGGGGATGTAACATGTGGGGATACTATGTGCTTTGGGGTACTTTTGGGACTTTTTAGAAATGTGTGTTTTTTGTGTTTGGAGATAATTGAGTTTAGTATAGTGCTTGACTCAATTATCTTCTAAGTAAAGGGGAAGGCTTATTGTATTGTATGTGGGAGTGCCTTAGATTGTAACTCTATTGTGATTAGTGTGTACATTTGTGTCCCTGTCCCCAACAAGGTCCATGTGGGTGTCACCCTTGCATGGGGACTTGCATAAAAGGCCAGTGTGGCTACCATTAAACCATTCCTGCTTAACCCTCAACACGTAGTCTGGTCTCGTGATTGTAGGGAACCTGTTATACAGCTATACCACTAGCTCTTGTAAGAGCTTCACAGCTATACTCTCTTGGAGGAGAGGCCTTCCCACTGAGTCCCTGGATCCAGGAGTTTGGTCCAGGACAGGAAGGGACAGTGAGACCCCAACCAAGCTGCGGCGGTTCGTGTGGTCTACGGTGCCCGGTGAGGTACTTATGGTCCTCAGCATCAGCTAAAAGCATCGATTGGCAGAGGTACCCAGTCAGGGTGCCTGGTGATTCGTTACACATGCAATTTGAATGGAATTTAAATTAACACTTTTATATAAATGGTTCACAAATATAGAAAATGGTCACTTAGTGTATTCTTTATACTCACAGTATAAGCATTTTTAAGTGATAGAAAGTTGTATTTTGAAAGGCTAAGTAAAATTAACTTGTCCTGTAAGAAGAGCAGATTTAGCTCCACTTCAATGAACAGCTAAAAATGGTTGGCACTAAAGTTTGTGCCCTGACCTATATTTGGTGAATACTGTACCAACACAAACTAAAATTACTTGTTTCCTTCTCATGCTCACAATATGTAATTCTGGGTACATACATATCATTTACTCAAAAGTTTCAATTAAAGTTCACGTTATATACAGTATTAATGTCACTGTCTGGAGTGTCTGCGCCGCTCACTCGGTCACCATTAACGTACACTGCCTAATACATACATTTTACATGAAATACATTTATAGCTGTGATAAATAGTGGTTTAATCCATTTGGTGGGATTTTATTTATAATATTGTGGCATTTAATTTATAGTAATGGGTTTAATTTACCTGTCTGACAAATTCACTGTAAGTTAAATATTTTATTCAATATAATCTATAATATGTATTATGAATATAATTGTTCACATGGTCACTCACACACTTTTACTTAAGTATACACACAATGTCACTGATGCACTCTCACTAACACACAATATTAAGTATACACACAATGTCACTGACACTCACTTATACACACAAGGTCACTAACACACTCTTACTGAAGTATATACACAACGTCACACACTCTTACTAACACACTATTATTAAGTATACACACAATGCCAATGACTAACACTATTAAGTATACACACACTGTCACACACTATTATTAAGTATTCACACAATGTCACACACACTCACTAACTCACACTATTACTGAAGCATACACACACACACACACACACACACACACACACAATGTCACTCACACCAGTTTACAGTTACACTCTATTTACACACACACACAAACATACACAAAATAATAAAATAATCAGCCCTCTTAGACTCCATGTGGGCCATGAAAAAAAACAATATTACCCTTGTGGCATGCAACACCAGTGGTGAAATCTGGGGTATAAACAATAATAAGTCACCCCTTACAAGGAAGTGTGAAGACTCTTCTGTATCTTCACAAATATAGATATGAATAAAATATACACAACCTAAAATGAATAAAAACAAAGAGGTACCACAAATGGTGTAGAAAAATAAACACCATAAAAAGTAAAAATAAGAAACACTCACAAACGTATGAATAAAACAGGCGGAATATGTGATACGTATTTCTCTCCTACCCTAAAAGCTTAAAGAGTGCGAGAAGAGAAGAAAAAGAAGTCTTTATTTGAATCATATATTCTGCCTGTTTTATTCATACGCTTGTGAGTGTATCTTTTTTTTTTTTTTTTATGGTGTTTATTTTTCTACATCATTTGTGGTCCCTTTTTGTTTTTATTCTTTTTAGGTTGTGTATATTTTATTCATATCCAGGTGGGCCATATCTGTGCTGTGGAGGAGGAACCATTCTCCAGCCTGCAGGAAGTCTCCCCTTTGTTTCTGCTGGGGGAGAAGGAGAGCAGTGCACAGTGAGCACAGCCTGCTTCCTGCTCCTTCCAATGTGTGTCCGGTGTTTATAGGCAAGGGGTAGCCAGAATACCAGGTCATGTCCTGGCTTCCCCTGCCTACAGTATCCATCTGCTCAGGGGCTGGGCTCACAGTAACAGAGAGGGAGCCTCGCTCAGCAAGCAGTAACTTTACTTTCAATTGGAGGGGCACAAGGGGAGGCACGGCCTGATTTAGGAGGGCTATGGCCCCCTCTGCCCCCCTAGTGATGCCCCGTCCACAATTGCTAATTATCCAGTATTTAAAGTGTTAACCATTACATTACAGCCATGTTAGAAACATATAATTTGATGGCAGATAAGAACCATTTGGCCCATCTAGTCTGCCTAATCTTCTAAATATTTTCCCTGGCCTTATCTTATAGTTAGGATAACCCTATGCCTATCCCACGCATGCTTAAACTCCTTCTCTGTGTTAACCTCTACCACTTAAGCTGGAAGGCTATTCCATGCATTTACGGAATAGCCTTCCAGCTGAAGTGGTAGAGGTTAACACAGTAAAGGAGTTTAAGCATGCGTGGGATAGGCATAAGGCTATCCGAACTATAAGATAAGTACACATAGATCAATCAAGAGATGCTCAATATAATTAAAACCTAGCTGTACAAATCTTAGACAAGAAAAGGAATATGACAAATGTCATGGAATATGTAATTTAGTAGTCTTTTATTAACAGTGTCTTAGAACTGCAAACCTTTCTGAAAATTTGGGAACAGACACTATATCTGTAAAATGGTCTACTGATCAAGGCCAGGCTGCGATGCAGGTTTGAGGTTGTCTGTGACATTTAATCATTTTTCCCCCTGAAATAGGATATTACCGGAGTGTCTTAGAATGAAATATAACATTGGTATGAAACAAGGAAAGACATTTTTTAGGGTGAATAGATTATGTAATAACTTACATTGAACATAAAGAATAATTTTAGCTGTGGAGAGGTCCTTTAATTTTAATGCATGCAACCACATCATTTTACTTGTAAAGGAGGACAAGCAATTGGATGCAAGAAAATAGTATGTTTTTATAATGGACCACAGGAAAAGAATATATTTTATTACCAGTTTTTGTAAACAGAGGTTTTAGCAGTTTTCAAGTGTAAAAATGTTAACAGGGTTTCTAAAGTTGTCCCACAGGGGCAACTAAATAGGCTGGCATTAATAATGGAGAATGCTAACAACAAACACTGAAGCAATTACATTGAAAAGCCAGTGATCTCACATCTGTCCACCCATCATTCTTTAAATTAAGCAATCCCACCAAACGGGGCACAGGGGGTACCTGTACAAGTCATCTCTGTACGTTACTAGAGACTGGCTAGCAGTAGCAGCCCATAAGCCTGTCTTACATTACAGCGAACAGCTAAACGTGCTAGTTATTAAAAAAAAAGGCCAATAAGTTTGCTTTAAAATCTCATTTATCAAAGTGTTTTTCTCAAGCAATTGACTAGTTTATCGGACTCGGCTTCTAGAATTTCAGCAGGCATTACATCAAGTCAAAATTCATGCAAAATATAAAATGAAATTAGTTGATAATATTTGACTGGGTTTTGCTGATAATTTTGAATGAAAATTCAAGTAAGTAAACTACATAAGTATTTGTTGAGTTATTCTGGCTTTTTTGTTCTTTAAAATTTTCAAACCAGAAAGTATTTTCTGAAACAGAACAAATGATTTTAAAAAGATTAAATGATTATCAGTTCCTTGGCACTATATCTGAGTTATTCCACTTTTATTAAACTCAATAAACATGCAAATCATTTATACATTCTAAAACAGTTCTCAGAAGCTCTACCATCAGTCTGCAGCACATAAAGACTGTATTTTGCTATGATCTATTTTTTTCAAAAATTCTACTTTTGAAAGGTATTACATGAATCAAATGCCACATACTTGCTCAGAAGTGATTTACTGTTTATCAAACTGATATTTTACTATAACTGCTTGAGCTGTTGATGTTCTCTTGTTTTTGTCTTTTTTATTATTTTATATAATCCAAAACTTTTTACTGCCATTTAATAATTAGCTTATACCATTAGTACTGGGCCTCTGAATTTTATACCCGTATTACATAATGTTTTAACAAAATTGATCAGGCAAAAGAAAATGTTAAATTGCTCTTTAAAGTAATCCAATGTAACTATTTGTGATGGACACTATGCTAACTTAAAATAATACTGTTGCAATTATAGTATGTATGGTATCCATGCATCACACATGTGATAATATAAAATTGACACTTGTGCCTTAAAGAGGCAGTGTCACGCTGAACTTACCTTTCTCCTGTTCCTCTTCTCTTCCTCTGTCAGAATCTATTCTTCTTTTCTTTATTTCTGATCTAGTTTAAGTAATTTTAATACATAATTTTCAAAAAAAAATGTTGTATCTGCGAGCAAAAACCTTTAAAATAATTGCTATTTGACCTCAATTTCCTATTCTAGACCTTAAACAAAGAATTCAGAAGGGGTTTACTAATTCAAATATACCTTTTACCAAACAATGGCTTTGATTTAATATTTTTGGGTACATTTTTCAAAAAAATTATTCTTTTTGGCTGAACTTTTAAAATT